AGATACAAGGGGTACAATAGAGAGTCAAGTGTGTAAGAAAGGCACGTATGCATTCACACACACACACACAATAGACAAGGAACGAATTTGTTCTCTAGGGTCTCCATATAGACAACAGAAACAACAACAACATCCTTGTTTTTTCATGATTGAAAAAAGAAAAAGAATCTGGAAAGAAAGAAAATAAAGAATGATGACTAATGATACATGTTTTGTATACTGTATTGTGTTTTGGACACTAGAACTAACCAACGAAAAGTTACAATATGAACTTGGAATACTACTGGCGCATAAGTAAAAGAAGGATGATGAGCAACCGTTTTTGAATCCAAAAAAAAACATGATGATAATGAACATAACATTCATGAAGATGATTCAACAACCACAAATGATGTTGATAACCGATCAAAAGATGCAATTGGAACGAAAAGTCTATGTGCAATAATGATGATGAATTTGAAAAAAAATTCAGAAATACAGCAATTGTTTCTGAATCGTTTTTACATTTTTCCAACATCATCTCACCATTATATTCAAACAATATCTTGTACGACAATTTGAAGAGAATAACACAGAGAGATAATAGACTCGATTTTATAGCCAGATACAAAACAAAAATACAAAACTAGTGCACATATTTAGACGATAAAGATAGGCTACGAGCTGGTGTCAATCATCATCGTATTTATGTACACTGCACAACCTCTGCCCTGCGCGTATAAAGCCTTACAGTCAGGGGTAAAATATTTCAACAACAATTGTGTATGACCAAACAAATATTCTGACAATTCTCTAAATGCCGACCTTTTTTTCATCGTCGTCGTTGTTGTTATTATTGGATTCTTTGATGATGTTGGAAGGAAAAAATTCCAATGAAATGTAAAGTCAATGACGATCATCATCAAATCATGTCATGAGAACAACAATCAAAAAGACTCCCTGTTACATACACATACAGACAAACGCAGAAAAAACAATTAGATTACGAAACATTGACGATAGGGTTATCATCACCATCAAGATCATCATGATGGAATCATGGCATCGATTCATTATAATTACAAAGGCTGAATATAATGATATATCGGCAGCAAGAATAAAATAAAATAATAACCCAGTTGCAGAAAAAAAAAAAGAGAAAAAGAGAATATATAATCGTTTTACAACAACTAATCGACAATGCAGAAAAAAAGAAAAAAAAGATTGGAAAATTAAATCTGAAAAAATAAAAGTATCGGAAAATCGGAACTCAAGTTCAAACATCGATGATGATGCAATTCTCTTCCTCCCACAATTCATGCATTCATTGAACCAGAAGAAGAAGAATTTGTAAAGGCAACTGTAATGATCTTGATGGTGATGATCAATAATTAATATGAGAATAAAATTCATAGTATTGCAAAGAAAAAAGAAAGAAAAGAATCATCATTTTCTGGTTCTTTGATTTCAATAGAATTCTTGCATAAAAGCTCCAAGATTCTTAGTGAACCCGTATTTTATATCGGCGCCATTCGATCATCAATGTTATTGCTTACACAATTTTTTTTTCTTTTTCGAAACAGAGTTCTATGGATGATGATGATGATGATGTTTTTTTGGTATGAATGCAAAGCTCAACCACCACCATCATCATCATAATGAATGTAAAATGTTTGGAGCGGGAAAATGAAAATGATGCACAAAAAGAAATGAGAAAAGTTAATTAACTTATGTAACTTGTAAAATCTTTTCACATTGTTTAATATGGTGGTATGGCTGATTCGCCATTGTCGGGATTAAATTCAAAAGGTCTTGTGGACCAACTTGCACTTTTTTCACAGTTTCACTGAACAGAGCAGAACAAATCACCATTCACGTTTTGAACATTTCTCATCCACACACAAAAGGAGAACGGAACTTGAATGTGGAGAAACAATTCACTGGTAAATACTGGCAAACGGATTTAACTTTTCATTAAAAATGAATATCCATCCAGATTCTTTCCGACCAGATTCATGTAGCTGATTTATTTATTCATTTATTCATTCGCTTATTCAGTAGCTTCTATCGAAAGAATTCAGAATCTATCTATATCTATACAATTTATATTTCTCTTCTTGTCGTTGTTGTTTCCTGAATAAAGATGACGATGGAAAAAAAAGAAAAAATTATATAAATTTCAGGAATCCATGGCCATTTTTCTTTACAGCATTCTCTGTTTGTTTGAATGTTTTTGTTGTTGTTGTTGTTGTTGTTGTTGCTCGAATTGAAAAATGAGTAAATGTAATGATATTCAAACCTAGACATATACGATATGAATTTGAATGGAATTTCTGAATATTGTCCATGAATTCATGGTGATGAATAAAGGGCACAATATATGTTCATTTTTCCCAGTTTTTTTTTGTTGTTGTTGTTGTTTTGTTCATAAATAAATGAACAAATTTTTTTTTGAAAATTATGAAATGAAATGTGAATCACATTGGATTAAACCATGTATGAATATGCATGAAATGAAAAAATCACAATTTCATGAATTAGGCCTATGCACACACATACAGCGATTATCATTCATTTCTATTTCTGTTCTACCTTTTTATAAAATAAATCAAAATCAATTTCATGAGGCCAATCGATCGATCGACTGATTGAATGATGGAAAAGCAAATAAACATTGATTTTAGCAGATGTCTTTCAGCAACGATTATGATGATGGCCCGAATAAATTGATTATTATCAACTAACCAACTAACTAACTGACTAACTTATTTCAGTGAATGAGTTGGATTTGTGTAATGATGATTAGTGTTGGTAATTTGCCAACAGATGAAAAAAAACAACATGAAGATAATTTGGAAATTAAATTAGTGTGGATGATGAGAAAACAGTCGTCATTATCATCATCATAGAATCGAGATCGATCCAGAGGCAAAATTGATTTGAACAAACAAACAAACAGAAAAAACAGCCGTCTCAATGATTATGATGATGATGACAATTATTGGAGCAGATTGATTCATGATGATGATGAATCTGTTTTTTTTTTTTGCCAACATTTCATTAATGAATGAAGTGAATGGATGTAGTTGACATTGAAATTCATATAATGGTCAACAGAATGATGATGAATGAGCTAATAGTATACTATGGGCAGGCTGATCATCAATCTTGATGACAGAAGACCGTTGACGGAAGAATAGCTGACATTAACTTGAAACCAAACGAATGGGCAGCAAGAGAGATCAATTAATTAATTATTATTAAAATGACCTTTTTTCCCATTCAACCATGGTTATTGTCATCATGATGTGGCACAAAGGTTAATTATTAATTAATTAATGTCGACATTTCTTCAAAATGAATTGTATTGAATTAGTGATAAACTCCAATTTTTTTTTCAACAACTTCGACACGAATATCATGATAATAAACAACAATCGATGTGAAACGGATCGAAACAAGAAATTGCTTGAAACAATAGGCAACAAACTTGATCTATTGAATGCATATATGTGTGTGTGTGTGTGCCATAATTAATGACTTTTCAATGTGTCTGTGTTCACATCGACCATGAGGATAAAAAATGAATAAATGAAGAAAAAATCTCACGAAAAAAAACGGAAAAAAGCTTTTTTTGAAGTGAAAAAATTCCTACACAAATATAGCTAAAATCAACGATTAGATATCGATCATTTTATTCTTGATTTACGAGATTTAAAAAATTTCCAATCTGAATAAGAAAATGCAATACAATTCAATAATGGATCTTTTCCAAACAACAAACAAAAAACACATGTTGGGAGGAAAAATAAATAAACATTCGGATAGATCAAATCTATAGATTGATGGTGAACTTTGCTCCAGATTTGTTTGAATATAAAAGGGAGAGAAAATTGGCCAGGCAAAAATAATAACATAAGTGATGGCTCCAATAATATTGAATTGGCCACAATGATTGGCGTCATTCATTTTTTTGAATTATGATGTAAAATGTCTTTATTAGCAAGCAATGTGTGTGCGTGTGTGTGTATACCCACTCAATTTGTTCAATCAAAGGTAAATCTTGTTTTTTCAAATTCAAAATTCAATCGATCCATTGAATTATTATAAATGTGTAAGTTGGGCGCTCTTTAGTATGTATGTATCTGTGATCAGTGAATAAAATGAGAAAAAGGTTATAAAACAAGCCATGGATTGTTGTGATGTCTTGATTATCACAGGACATTTTGATCAGTCATTTTTTTCGCCAATTCTCACCATCAATCGATTTCGATTAGAAAAATCTTTAGCTTTTTTCACAAATCATCAGAAAAGCTCAACAAACAAACAAAAAAACCAAAAAGGGCGATGATCGCCATCACCATTTTGTGAAATCAAATCAGATCAAATCAAAAGATAGCCAGATCAAAATCAACATTATAATGAGAATATATTGCTTTTGGGCAAATTTTTTTCTCTCTTTATTTCGCTCACTTTTTTGTCTTTTTTTGTGTACGATTGCCAACAACCAAAAAAATGATTTTGTGGCTACAATTTTGATTATGGACTGGTCGGGTTTTAAAAAAAAGAATTTTCGGCTTCAGAAGCGGCAGTAAATTGGGTTGTCGTTTTTGAGGTTCTGGGCGCCATTATCAACGACATACAAATAGATTGTACTTTGCCTTTTTACAACTATACAATTATGAACATTTCGATTTAGATTGACAAAAGATGTGATTTACATAAATTATAAGTGTGGGGCAATAGGAAAAATTTTATATTTTTCAAACTCGCATTTTTTCCGTTGTTGTCAACAACATTTCGATGCAACGAGCAATTGAAAATGGAAATCGTGACAAAATAAAAATAGTTCAACACACACACAGGCACACTGTTGTGCAATTATAATTTCAAAAATATCTACAATCTGAGGTCATTAAAAGGCATAGCCCGGAAAAAAATAGAGACAAACATGCATGTCGCGCGTCCAACGAGAAAAGATCTTGATTGAATGAAAAATATTAAAATGGAAAATGACTTACCTCACAATGGGTCCTATTGATGTTGTTCAAATTAAGGCGAAAAATGTTGTCCCTGTGGGGATGGATGTGGAAAAAGAAAAGAAATTAATCGATTGAAAATTTGTAAATTTGCGAAAAAAACAAATACTTTCCGACCGACCGGAAAGAAAAGTTTTAGACAAACATTGATTAATATGCAAATTGTTGTTCATGTTAATGATGACAGATCAATGCAATTTGTGTGTGTGTGTGTGTGTGAAAAACATCTTATCATATCATTATTTAGAGTTTGAATATACTCATCACCAAAAAAGAAAAGAAAAGAAAAACATACAACTAATGAACTAGTCGTGTATTATGATGATAATCAAAAAGTATCCATGACCAGAACCGAAATCAAATCGAATCGAATGGAATGAATAAAGACATTATTATTGAGATGATGATCATGATGATCCTATAGAATAGGTGTATGGAATATACAAGACAAAATTGTAAGCTTTAGCGTACACACGAACACGCCTTGTTTCTATCCATCGATCTTTCCAGTATTTCTGGTCTGGGGTCTTCCATTCTCAATGATGATCATCATCAAATCGAATGATGATGATGATGATACGATCTTGCTTGCTTGCTTGAATTTGGCTTATTCGATTCGATTGTGACCATCATCATCATTATCATCATGTGTAGAGTATAGAGTAGGGGTGGTAATAATAATCATCAAAATCATTAATCAAACGAAAGGCGAGCCGACAACCCTCAAACAAAAAATGAAATACAACAAAATTACACGCAAATTAATTCGAAATTTTTTTTTTGGTGGAAAATAGAAAACATATTTTCTCCTCTCCATTAGCCAAATGGATATTCAATTCAATCATTATGATCATCATCATGATATGAGAATAATCAGATAATCGAATTTCATTTTTTTGTTTCATTCTCGCGTGATTGCTATGAGATGTGTGATTGATTTTTTTCAGAATAAATTGTTCTATTATAAAGAAGATAATATAATGACAACAAGTGAAACAAGGACAAAACACGGCGTTTGCCGAATAATGACAAATACGTGCAGGTATTGTATGTATAAAGGAAAGATCCGTGATGATGATTATGATGATGTCTTAATCTGATTTGAAAAGGACAAACATATCATCATCATCATCAAATTAACAAGATGGCTCAATAATCATCATCAACAAGCCCAAAAATTTGTCTTGGTCTTTGTGTTTTGTTCAGGATCTGAATCTGAATCAATTATCGATGTGTTCATTACATGATATATGCCTCTAACCAATATTGGAATGTTGTTGTTATTTGTTTATTTCCACTAAAACAAATACAACGCGCGTGCCATTTCCATTCGCATGTCGATCAAACAATTCGGACAGGATTCTGAGGTCCAATTATCATTGATTCACTAACAACAATAACATGTAATATTTGGATTTGTGTGAGGTAAAAAATGGAAAAAATTGACGATAATAATCGTCTTATCGATGGGTCAGAGTTTATTAATGAGAAGCTCAGCTCATCCAAGTCTATTGTTACTAATAATAATTAGTTGGTCGGTTGGTTTCGTTCGTTTGAAATCGGACTCGGTATTATTTTGTTCAAACTTTTTCTGTTTTGTTCTGTTTTGTTTTTATCCTTTGGATGATGAAATTGCTGACTCAACTATATTATGGTATATTTCACACTCAAATGAATTTCTCACTCAATTCACTGGTGGTAGTGGTGGCAGCGATACAAAAGAAGAATTGTCTGCTTCTTTTCATCATTACAATTGTTATTTGTTGTGATGATTTAAACGTGAATTCGTGCACACACACACACACACACACATCGTACAAACTAAATCAAACGATGGACAGAAAACAAAAACTTTCAGAAACGAACGAATGAACAAAAGGAAAAAAGATCCATTTCGATCGATGGTCGAATAGTTTAGTTTAGTTTGATCACTAATTTGCTCTAATTAAATTAGATTCTCGCCCACACAGACAGACAAGCAGGGTATGATCGTCATCATCATCACAGGAATGGTGTTTTGGTGAAGAATAATTTCATCATCATCAACAACAATAACGACAATAAAAGACTTACATGGCTCCAATGTAAAGCAATTCACGCCTTGGATCAATGTAGAGTGTACGATAATAAAGATGGCCACAGGAGAATTCACGTATATGATCTGTAAAAATTCAGGGAAAAAAAGAGAGAAAAGAAATGAAAAACATTATTTTTTACAAATTACAAATAAACAAATCTGATCATGTTTTTTGCAGCTACAGCTATTAAAGTCATTCGAATGTAAGAAATGTTTTGTTGTGTGAAAATGGACCTTCTGGTTTGTTTTTCAGATTTCTTGATTTTGTCTCATGTGCAACTATTGTAGCTAAAAAATATTTGTCAACTTTTAATAATTCATGATACCACAGACCCGAAAAACGAAACAAAACAAGATCGCAATTGGACACCAGAAGCAGCAAAAAAAAATCCACAATTCAACAACAACAACAACAACAGCAACAACCATAACAATAGCATCGTTAATGAGATCGAAAACACTTTAGGGTCATCAAGGACCCTTTTATATCATAAAACAAAATCATAGCGATCGATTAAGTGGGTGTAGGACGACTGTATCATATTACAATCTTGAACATTCAGTGTGTGTGTGTGTGTGTGTGGTGTCACCTCTAGAGTGTAGCACACCAACAATTTAACGATTACAAAGACGACAAACATAGTACTAATTATCGTTATGGAAATGGAAAGCCAACTCAGAAACACATACCTCATACACATAGAGATATAACTACAATTTGGTCACAACTCATTAAACATTGGTGTCCGGGAAATTTTCGCATATTCACAAATTCACCAGACAAATTTTCTTGTTTTTTTTTCAACCAATGAATACGGATGATTGGATTTTGTTCTCTTTTGGATTTCGTTAATCAAGTTGATGAACAAAACGAGAAAAATGGAAAAAAAATTCTATCTCAAACCAAATGAAATGTGACTATCTATTAATATTTATCTGAAAAAATGTACAAATGGAATCCGATTTCAGTTTGCAGATTCTTCAGGCTCCAATAAAACATTGATATATTTATGACCTGAACTATTACTAGACATTGGTAGGAATTGTATCAATATGAAATACATCTACAGATATGAATCCATACATATATCTGTACATATTATAATAGAATCTGAATCAATATTAGTAATAACAATAAAAGCTCCGGATGAATGAATGTCCATTATAATAATATAAACGAGGCGATAAGGTGCCACATGCAGCAACCTGAGAATAACCGTGAGTATAGTAACTGAATCTAGTGAATGAATAGAGAATGAAGAAGAAAAAGAAAAATTCGTTTGTCTGTGTATTCGGTAATTATGGCTATTTCGTTTGTTTCGTTTTTTTCTTTATACAAAGAACAATGTATTGTTGGCCATCATCATGATGATCATCAATGACCACAATGACCAAAGTTTCGGTTTCGGTGTGTGTGTGTGTGTGTGTGTGGAATATTAATATTATTGTTTCAGGAATTCACTGCGGTAAAACGGCAAAAACAAACACACACACATACAAATAGTATGGCCAAACTGAAAATCATCATGATGACCATCATCATCATCATCATCACCATAATCATAATCAGTCGTGCATTGTGATAAGTATGAGCAAAAAATAAATTTTCATCGAAATAAAATAAAGTTTCTGTTTCGTTTCAAAAATTCTATAGTTTTGAATGAATGAATGAAAAATGAGACGAAATCGATTTCCAAGCATTTCGTAGTACAAAAAAAGTCAATTGGGCGCCATCCATTTACAAGCTCATCACCATCAACATCATCATCGTAATCGATTTTATAGGCTCGACTTGAATATATACCATGATTATCATTACAAACTTATTAAATCAACGTCATCATCATCATCATCATCATCAAAATCATCATCATTGGGAAATTTAAACCACGATGATGATGATCGTGACTATCGAAAGTAAAAGCCATGTTGGATATGGCGAGATGATGTTGAAGAATTTTTTTCATTTGAAATTTAACTTTTTATGTTTCATATAAATGAATGAACGAATGAAATATTTACGCGCTTGGATGGTCACCATCATGGCTGTATGAAATGAGTGAATTGTCTGCATGTGTGTTTCCATTGTGTTGACAATTCAAGCCATCATTTGAAAAAAAAATGAAAATCAAAAATTAAGCCACAAAAAGGCAGTAATAGTAATTACAATTACAAACACACAATAGGAATTAATGAATGGAATCCTCTTGGTCATCATGATGATGATGTGAAGGAATTTTTTGGCTACGAAAAAAAATTGAATAAATTCATCAAATTCCTTGCAGAAATTTCAATTTTTGGTCAAAACCTACGCGCATATTTTTTTCATTAATATTCAACTATATGCAATGATGAAGATGGAGATCAAAGTTTCCTTTTGTTTTTTATTTCAGAGCCAAATTCATTACCAAACGACTGTCAGGACAACCACAAAAAGTTAATAACATCGCAGAGATACATTGTAAAAAAGAGAAAACCAGAAAAAAAAATAATTAATATCCGGTCCTGTTTGTTGTTGTCCACAAGCTGCAAACATGGAATTTATTTTTGTTATAAGCCACACACACATTTGACAAGAATTACATTTTTTTCTCATTGAAGCACAAAAAAATTAGAAATAAAAAAACGAAACGAATAACCGCCCATAAGAGCCTTATGTAGAGAAAAATCCTAATTATAATCTATAGACGAATGAATGACTGGATGATAATTGTGACCATGACCATCATCATTATCTGATTTGTCGTCATCATTGCAATTGCCTCTTTTTTCAATGAGAAAAACAATTTTGGTTTGCGCCCATCACTGATTTTCAGATCGAAATGGAAAAAAATCATCAGAAAACATACACAAGACACACACAATCAATGTGACTTGATGACAAATTTTCTTTCTTTCTCCTTTTTTCTTGTCATCAAATAAAATTCATTCAGTCATGCGACCAAGCTAAACAGTGGTGAGACTTTGTGACACACATACATACATGCACACGCAACATAAATTACACATTACAATGAACGTGCAAATTCGTCAAAATTGAAGCTGATAATATATGAACATGAACAGTGGCTTTTGTTCATCAGCATCACAACAAATTCATTATAGTCTCCAATTTACAATAACAACAACAAACATATGTCATATAACAGCTGTGAGTGGGCGCCCAACCAACTAAACATGACACACACCCTTGATTGAATATACGAAGGTGTTGACAGCATCGTCGTGGTGCTTGGACCATATAACTATCGATTTGAATTATCACATTTTACAAGATTGTCCAATTATATTTCATTGATTGATAATTATCATTATGGATTTTGTTTTTGGCCTCTGAATGAAGGATGACCAAATGAAATATATAGTGAAAAAATGATGATGATGATGATGACTTTATTAGCACAGGTGTGGTGTAGTGCTACAACACACACTTGCTAATAAAAAGATGCTTACTTGGTGGTGGTCAAGGTGTAATTTTCATCATTATCATTGCCATTAAATATAAATAATATAAATAGTAGGCAATACTGATACATAATTGCCATCCATGTGTGGATAACTAGCAAACTCTACTACTGAAAACTACTTTTTATTCCACTTGATTTTGATTTGATTTGCCGTTCATTTTTCATTTCATTGATTTTTTCGCACACACAACCAAGTGGGATGATCATCCAAGGGTCGTTGGCTTTAAGAAATAAGAATATTTGTGATGGCAAATATGGCGCCCATTGCGTGTGATGATGATTGGGTGCTTTGAATGAAACACTTGATGTTTGAACAATAATAACATCGTCATCGTGATGATGATGATGATGATTGAGAAAAAATGGCCAGATTGATGGCAGATAGATAGTATGGATAGTATGGTTATTATAGAAACAGAGGATAGAGTGCAATAATTATCCATTATTTATTTGATGAATGTTTCAATCTGAACAAAACATTTCATTCGATCGACAAAGATTGGCTGCAGTGATATCTTCAAGGTATATTCTATTTCGAAACGAATAGATTTCTAACAAATCGACGACGTCCATCCTTCTCCTCTCTTCACCATCAACACCATTATCATATCCAATTTGAATACATTTGATACAATCCATACACACCAACCAAGTTTCTTTTATAGTCGAAAAAGAAACAAAAAATGTGGCCAAAAAAAGAACAATAACCTAAATGATGATGATGATGATGATGACAAGGGCTATGGCTATAGTGGAAAAAGTAAATTTCCAAACACTACACATCGATGGAGTGTGTGTGTACCCCTCGAAGATCATAAAAATGGTCATCATCATCATCAAAAGGCGAATCTCAAATTACAACATACACTATAGCTATAACTATCTATCTCTCGGTGTAACGAAAACTATGAAACAATGTATCAACACATGTACGTCCATAAAATTTCATTAGTGTTTTTGATACTTCCTGTTTTATTATTCTCTTTCTTCTCCATTTGGAAAAGTAAAAAAGTTTGCAACAACAAATTCTTGTTCTGATTTAATTATAACAGTATCATCTATGATAAAATGAAAGAATAAGTGAAAACAAAATCTGGAAAATGTCCAGAAAAAACGGGACAGGTAAGAAATGCAGAAATCTTCAACATCATCATCATTTGGTAATTGGATTGTTTACACACATGCACGCATACAACAACAGTTGAATAATGAGAAAGCCCATAAATATTGCAGCAGCATTTTTTAGGCTGTTGTCACATTTATGACCACCACCAGCACATCTCGAAACATATTCAATCGTCATAAAAGAAGGCCTCCCTGATGATTGAGATAACAACAACAACAATGACAACAACAACAGTAGTGATGTATTCATTTCAACATGGAAATGAATTTCAAACTTTTTTAAAATTCATCATCACATCAGATATCTGAATGAGAAGCTTTAGATGACCTTCTGGATGATCAATCAATCCAAGATGTGTGTGATCATTGATTATCATTCAATGGTCATCGATAAGTTTAATTTAAATCTAACGATGGAAAAGGTGATTTTTTTCACTTAATCGTAATTAGTTATGAAATGAAATGCAGGTTTCATTCGACCATTTCCAACTG